AAATGGAATGAATTTCTTCCTAAGCATATTCTCTTTCTAGCCCCCTCTACTGCCTCTCTATATTAGGCATGGGCACCTATCTTCTGCATTTCATGTCAAACTAAGATTTAGTGAAAAAAGCATCTGACTGCTCAGCACCCTTAGATTTTATTTTTTACATGTCTTACATTCTAATGCAGTACAATGTAATACAATGCAAATAAAATTTGCTTACACTTGTGTTTCATAATTAATCAAAACACAAAATATACTTCTGAATTCGATGATGTTTTGTGAATGAGAATTTCATGAGGAATATGTGATTAGGAAGGGTGTCTAAGTCACTTAAACACTACTTATCGTCTTTGTTTACAATTTTATAGCTTCTTCTTCATACTCCTAAAGCAATTTTTAAAAGTTCACTTAAAAAAGAGAGTAGTGCTGATACTTTAAAAAAATCAGCTGTATTTATTTAATTGAATTAAAAATGCTTGTGCTGTATGTTCTTCATTAATTTGTAAAGAGGAGCTGGAGCTTCACAGATATAAAGTAAAATAGCAATTTAAAAACTTATGATTTAATAGCGTGATTTTTGTTCATGTTTCTGAATAATATATAAAGCACAAATGGATTTGACCTTATGTTTTCACACATAAATGCACTTTTAATTTAGATAATATCATTTTATTAAAACATATTTTTTACAGAACCATTCAGTTGAATAAAATTATTTTTAAAAATTTAATACCACTAACTGAAGGTCAGTGGCTCTTTATAATAAAGATATAAATGTTAAACTAAGGTATCTGATTATTTTCTTCCTTGTAGATATGGAATTAGGGTAAATGTAAATTTTAAATGTGAAATTTATATTTTAAATGTCAGTGATACTTGCTACATCATATAAAATCTATAGTTAGTAAATTTTAGAGAAGTTCAAAATCGCAATTATTTAGATTGAAGTAAAAAAAAAGTAAGTATATGGTTTAAGTTTACAAAATAATATGTAAAATAAAAACAGATTATTTTTTCTGTCTCTATATGCCACTTAAATAATAAAGAATAACTATAGATAAATACATATTTTATAGTGTAATTCTAAATAGAATTTAATTTCTTTTCATTGTGGCACCACTAAAATTACTACACCATTTAGAAAAGTAATATTAAGTAATGAATTTTTTTTTTTTTTTTTTTTTTTTTTTTTTTTTTTTATTTTGTAAAATGAAGTGTCAAGTGTCACGACTATTTTTAAAAGAAAAAAATATAATAAATATTAGAATTACCAGGGCTAGTGTACATACTTTGGTCTATTTAATTCCATGTTTTTATTATAATTTTTATTATGAGCTCATTTTAAATTATTTGGTTTTGGAGATACTTCTAGTTAAAATGCTATTTCTATCAAAAATACTTTCGCATGTGTAAACTATATGTTTTATGGGGTTAAAATTAGGAAGTGATCAAAGTATGATTTCACAAATCACAGTTTCTTGTTGCACAGAGGTATATTTTTAAATTTTTCAATGTTTAAAGAGGACGAGAATAGTGACAAAAACTCTTGTGAGAAGTACACACTGTGGGTCAGGTACATTAAATACATGGTGAATGAGTTCTAAAATCATTAAAGTCCAATTCTTCATTTAGGTTGGAAGCAGCCCTCTCCGGGAAGTAGTCTATTGGAAGTTTAGCCACTTTTATTGGAGAGCGCCTGGAAGTGAATGGATTTTCCTAACACAGCAAAGAGGTGTGGTGATACTTAAGGCCCCTGACCTGGGGGCTAGTGCTTTGGCTGGGAAGGGAGGCTTCTGAGAACATTTCAGAAGTTCACAGCCGGAGCTGCTGGCAGAAGCCTGCTGAAAGAGTTTGGCGCCTCCACAGCCTGTCATGAAGTGCCTTTCAAATTCTTGATTTTAAGTATATTTTGGAGCCAAATAGTTGAGATCAATAACTCACAAATGGGGTCTGATAACTTGTAATGAATCATTCTTGGGGGTGGAGGGGATACAATCCAAGTTCTTATCACAGAAAAGCATGTCACAAGTACAACAAATTATGGAAATGCCTTGACATATTTGAAAGCTATATAATATCATTTCTCTAGAGACATACAATTTAGAGGAGATTAATATAATGCAATGAAAATTTAGACTTTGTCAAATTTCTTAACATATGGGATTCACAGAGTTAATTTAGTAGTTTTAAGAACTGATGTATTCAATTGAATGTACAGAAAATGTGTATTTTCATTACCGAAATTTTATAGTTAATTCCTCACAGTTTTGGAATCTAACCATTTCACAATGAGGTTTAGGTCTATTGTTTAATAAAAAAAATCAATGTTGTTTCAATAAATAAAACTATGTACTTAAAGTGTTAGTTTTTTTACATGGTGCCTAGGCCATTATTTAAGCAACATTCACTTATTATGAATATAAACTTCACATTTTGTATTACACCAAACACATTAAAAAAGTATCAATAATTACAACTTTTAACTTGCATTTATTTTTTAGATTCTTAGGTAAAGGTAGAAAATTTTAACATTAAGTATAGTAACTTCCCAAGTGATACCCCAAAACTCTTTTCATTCTTCCACAGCAAGGAATAAAAATATTTACTTTTGACTGTAGGTGCAAGGACTAAGGTAACAAGAACTAAGGTAACAAAAGTGACACTTGTCTGTTTTCTGAGTTTGGAAAGAATGCTAAGTTTTCTAAGTTAATTAAGATGTTGGCTGTGTGTTTGTCATGCATGGCTTTTATCAGTTTGATGGAAAGTCCTTCTATAAATATTTTTGTCAGGACTTTTATCACCAAAGATTTTGTCAAAGACTTTTTCTGCGTCTATTGAGGTGATCATATGACTTCTATCATTGATTCTATTTATGTGGTGTAGATTTATGTGTGTTGTACTATCCTTGAATTCCTGAGATAAGCTGACTTGGCCCTGATGTTTGACCTTTGTAATGATTTATTGTGGGGAGGCTAGAAATGGGATTAAAGGAATCAAAAAAGATTAACATATAATTTATTTATATACTTTTTCACCACATGAATATAACAATGCCTCAAACAGTCACTAAAATAATACTTGTAGTATGCTTAGTTTTGTAGTTTTTCTTTATCTGCATAAGGAAAAATATATAGCAAATACAATAAATTTCTGATTATTCAACAATCCAATAACATATACAAAATTGTCCTTAAATATTTTCTCCAACTTGATGAATATGAATGACAAATATCTCTGTTTTTTTAAACGGAGTGAAAGTCTTTGAAAAATCATTTAGATTTCTTGCTTTTTAGACTGTTTTTATTCTTTAGTTTGTTAACATATTCTTTTATATCTTCCATATTTTACATGATGTATGCTAGTGCTATTTCTGTATTATTTTTACAGTGTATTTTTCTTTGTGCACATATTTGGCTTATCTTTTTAGTTTTTGTTTGCATAGAACATATAATCATAATATAAGAGCATAGTAATTATTCATTATTTATATGTGAAAATTTCAACATCCTATTTTGCATATCCCATATTTTTATAAAAATATTAGACTTTGTAATTTTTGCCTATCCACTCATCTGTTAATATTTGTTTTTAATGCAATGCATGAGTCCTTTTATTTTTTCCAAATGAATATGGGTTGAGCAGGTCATTCAAGTGTGTGCATTTTTCCCATTCCTGTACAGCTACAAAGTTGCAATGTACACAGGATATTTTTTTTTAACAAAGTGCTTAAGCACCCTCAGTACCATAGCCCCCTGTGGTGGGCACATCTGTTTCCTCAGGAATATTTTTATTTGTTCAGAACTTATGACAATTTTGTTCCACCTAATGATGCCTATTTTGTCGGACCTGACCAACCATTGCTATATCTGTTTCTGTGGAGAAGGAATGAGAGGTGATTTATGGTTCTTCTTTCAAAACACAAGAAGAGTGAGTGCATATCAGCTCCATGTATCAGCTGAAGGACTATTCACAGTGGCCTTCCGGGACAAAAGCTTCAGGTACAAGCTCATCTCTGTTCTCTTTGTGAGTAAAGCATTATTCCTTCAAATGCAGAGTGACATGTGTCTTTCTTGTCCCCCAAGACACCTGCAAACCCTACTGAGTATTTTCCTGGGACTCCTGTTCCTGGTGGACAACATTATTATGCTATCATACATGTGATGGAAGTCTTCTCTTTGAGAGGCTAATTGTTGTCACTTGATCAGTAAAACTGATAGAAATTCTATTTAGTTAGTCACTTCTTCATTGTTGGAAATATTTCCAACATCATTCACAGTTTCTTTATAGCTGTTTTCTTGTATCTGAATTTTCCATTATATAACTTTATGTGTTTATTTTTTTAATGTAACAGCCTTACTGGTTATACTTTCGACAGTACTATTGTATTATAGAAAGGGTTTCCTCTTAAATCAGATTCCAAACTTAACTTAGGTAGATGTAGAGATAATGATAAAGCAAAAGATGCTGAAAAACTATTTTTCTGCCTCTCAATACTTCTGTAATCAGCACAAATGAAAGTTATATGACAATTCTAAAAATATATATTGTATGATCAAATCAGTTACAAAAATGCTCCCATGACAAATTCCAAAAATGTGTTCTTTTTCTGAAATAACCTGCTCTGCTCCATTATTTGGAGGCTTTATACCTTATTTTACCTCATCTTCTCTTTCATTGGTGCTGCCTCTGGCTATATTTGGTTAGGTGTGGAGGAGGTATTGAAGGAAATAGAAAAACAATCATTTGACCAATGCTCCTGTAATCTGTTTCTGGCTTCCTCTTGATATGGTGGCTTGTTAGCAATAACTTTTCTCTATATGGTGTATAATTTATAAGTTTTCAAATTCATAGTTGCAGGGACTTTTAACTTCCCATGGTCTCTGTGTATTTCTAATTTTATGTGTTTCTAGCAGGGAATTTTCTTAGGTGAAGCTCTATGAAGAAACACACGCCTAGATCATTTTCAAGGACCAAATTGGCCATGAAGTGGATTAACTTATACTTACTTCCAAGGTGGATCTGAAACAATACTCTGAAACTGCCTTCTTAGTAGCTGGTGCCAGGTTCTCAGGGAAATCTTCTATTCCTGGAAAGTTCCCCACTGTTCCTCAGTGTTTATTTAAGGATGCACTCATGAGCTCATGGTGATATGAGGAACACCAGTATTCCAGGCAATGAGGACACTGGAGCGTGAGAGAGGGGTTGCCCACCACTCCCGCACATCACTCTACTCAGTAAAATACTCTTTTTATAAGTCATTGTTGCTTATTCCCTAGAGCATTGTGATCTAATAGAGCTTTCAATTCCAATAGAGCTTTCTGCTAAGAAGGTTAGCAACACAAATTTCTATAGTTCAGGCTGATAATGTGCTATATGTATAAAATATGTAATATTATAATCAAATTTTTAATAAACCATTGAGATTAAAAACTTCTTACTTTTCTTTTGAGTTTTCCATTTGTACATTTTAAAGCAATATTCCTACTTATGAGTGTGGCACTTTTAATAATTATAATGATTTGCAATCCTAATGACTAATTCTATAATTGCTATGGCGCCTAAAGTTAACTTGATAAGAATTATCCATCTTTTTATACATCATTTTTTCTGCTACTTATTAAACAGCATTTTTATTCAAGCTTGGACATAACAATGAACAACTTTTACTGCATGTAGCTAAGTACTACTCTATAACTGCAAATAACTACTCTACGTGGCCACCTTATATTGCCCTTGAAACCCTGAACAATAAGTTATGGCTTGGAAAATATATTATAATCAAAAAATCACAAGAAAGTACAAATTAAGTTTAAGCATCAATTTGGACATAATCAAATCGCTCTTGATTCTAATTCCTATATAACAATCTTTAAAATTTAGAATATATCCATACTCTTCAAAACTAGTACATTTATTATTAGAATTCAATCATCATTGCATTATTAAACTAAATTTTTATTTCCTTCGATTAGATATGATTTAGATTTCTGCTTTATTGTTTTTGTCATTTTTCTAAAAATATTAAACTGTTAGCTTTTTTTTTTTTTTTTTTTTGGTACCGAGGATCCAACTCAGGACCTTCTGCTTGCAAAGTAGGTGGAGGAACCACTAAATCCCCAGCCCCCTGAGTTATTTTTTATTTGAGAAACTCCTATAATATATGTTATGCTTTGTTCTAAACTATGAAAAAGAAAAGATGAATAGATTGACTTTCACTAATATTATAGCTGATGTTTTAATTGTATTATCTATATAGTAAAACCATTTATTTAATGTTTTTAATGTGTGTGACTATTAATTTGAATTTTGGAGATACTGTACTCAGAAGAATTTCCTAAATTCTCTCTCTCTCTCCCTCTCTTTCTATATTTTTCCATACATATATAAGCATATGTATGAATGTATACACACATCTATACATGAATCTATACATACTAATACAGTAAGTTCTTTAAATATAATGATCATTGACAATTGCACTGATCAGCTCTTTGTTGCCACACAATATATGTGACACCTGTAATTTAATGGAGAAGATGATTATTTGGCTCATGCTTTCAGAGGATTCTGTCCCTGGTAAGATGGCTCCAAGGCAGAATTATTATGTTGTAAGGGCTTGTAGGAAAAAGCTGCTCACTTATGCTTGCCAGAGCAAAGTGGTTTGGAAAGAGTGCCAGAGAGGAAGGAGCTAGGGACCATATCTAAACCCCAAGTTCATGCTTCCATGATCTATGCAGACACTGGGAAGTTTCCAAGACAAACATGTTGACAATTAGTCTTAGACATAATAAGTTTTAAAATGTTAATTATAATCGGTCAGTATTCGATATATTTCTAGTGTTTTATGTCTTTTTTTTTTAATTTATTCAGATACTGGGGATTGAACTCGGGTCCTTGCACTTGCAGGCAGGCCACCAAACCACTGAGCTAAATCCCCGGCCTATGTCTTGATAAGATAAAAGATATTTTGCACATTAGCCGAAGAAAAGAGATTTAAAAGACTGAATATATTGCCTTATATTAAATTTTAAGATCTTTAGACTAAATGGACTATCTATCAAAGAAAACCTGTCAGCCCGGAAAGAAGATGAAATAAAAGTACAAAAAATATAAAGTCAGATTTCTAATTTTTTAATTTATATGTTTAGTAATTTCTGAAACTCAAATTTGTTTTTATGTAAGATACTATTTAAAACATTCTTATTATAATTCCTTCTCTTGAAGTAAATTTCAACTGTCTTGCTTCTTTTAACTTAGAGTTTTCCAAATAAAATGTTCTACCTCAAGATAAAAGTATTTTAAAATTAAGACAAATAGTTGCAGCAGTTTAAAATATCAGTTAGAGGAATTAAATGGCAGTGCCACTCTATTTCTAATTTCCTATCTCTCTAAGAAAAATGTATGGGTCTCTGGCTAACGAGGCCAGATTCCAGACGATGAAACATATTATCACTGACTTAGCCTCTAATTGAAGTAACTACCAACTCTTAAGTAATGGATGTGAAGGCCAATATGAAGCACAGATCTAAAAGACACTATTGAGAAATAGGTGAATTTGATGCAGATCAAGTTTTTCAAATGGTAGTTTCTTGTGATTCACATTGAATGTAAGATCTAGACACATGAAATGCAACGTCTTTGAATACAATTTTATATTTTCTCAGTAAAAGACCTGTGAATGGGGCTGGGGATTTAGCCCCCCCCATGAACCTTTGAATGAATAATTAGAAATATACATAATTATCTATCAGAGAGATGTTTTGACTACTCACTCGTTAGTTTAAAAATGCTACCCCTAGTCATGCATAACTTCACTGATGTCACCCACAGGTTTCTTTTCCAAAACAAATCACCTTTATTAAACGTGTGTGTGTGTGTGTGTGTGTGTGTGTGTGTGTGGTCTCGTGCGTGCATTCGTGTACACAGGTGCACAGTTCAAGCCATGGCACCACTCCGTAGAGCTGGTGGGTAAGTAACCTCTGCTTCTCGCTGCAACTATAGATCTATCGCGGACGGAAGAACACCAGGGAAGGGCTGTCCATCAGGGTCTCCTCAAAGATAGGGTCTCATTCCTGTACCGTGATCACAAACTAGATATGGTCGCCCACGTAGCCCTCGATCTCTCCTTTGAAGGCATATGGAACACACTGAATGAGCTTCCACCGCTCTTCCCCAGGGAACGCCCCATAGGGGAAGAAGCGTTCGCCCTGAAAGAAGTCAGGGAGCTCGGGAAGTGGCTGGTTGGGAGGCTCTGAGTGACCCTCGTTGTTGGTGTTCTCATCTGTGGAGCTGACATACAGGTCCTTCCGTTCTCCTCCTGGATGGGGGGCAGCCTGTGCTCCCTCTGCTCTGCCACCTTCTTCAGCTTGTTCTCAGTGTCCAGATTCTTCCGCCCCATTATCTGGTCCTGCTGACAGCTCCTGCTCTGTGTCAGAATTTTCTTGGGGTCCTACTGAGTCTACTTTGGTCTCTTTTGGGCTTGGGGGCTTCTGGGGCTGCCAGGGGAGGCTTGGCTTTGGTCTGGGTGGCTTTCTCGGAAGCCTGGGGGCTTCATCCTCGCTGCTGCAGCTGGGAGAGCCTGCCTCATCCTCGCTGCTGGAGCTCTCCCTGTCATGAGGTTATAGTCCAGCACCCACTCTTTGCACACGATGCAGCCTCTGAGGCTCAGGACCTGACTATACTTGGGGGTGTTCACGAAATAGCAAATGAGGTGGGTGCTTTCCGGGGTTCGGTCTGGTAGACACTTGGAGGCCAGCTCCAGGGCCTTATCCCAAAAAGTCCAGGCTGAAGAGGTTGCGGAAGCCTCTCAGTACCACCACCACATCTTGAAGGATCTTCCCCAGCTCCTGCGGGCCAACTCGAGCTCCCCTGAGCTCGGTGCCCTCTCCCTGGGGCGTCCCTGACACAACCCTGTGTGCTCTAGCTGGGACGGGGATGGGGGCTCTGGGGTGCGGGTGGGAATTAACAATTTTGATCTCTTGAGGGGAGGTGGTAAAAGCTGGGCTGACTGACAGGGTGCTGGGGTCTTCCTTTCTTTTACATTCAAATCCAACTCCCTCTTCCCTGTGGTAGGCTCCTGAGGCTTAGTGGTGTTCCCCACGGTTTTGGAGAGTAGAGAGGTGGAGGCGGCGGCACTGGAGGCCTGTAGGATAGCTGCTGCATAGCTGGGCCCTGCTGGGTCACTGGCTGTGGCTGGGGATGTCTTATTTATCCTGACGAAGAAAAGGGCCCCTGGTCCCAGGGAGCTGGCTCTCTCCTCCTCCTCCTTCACCTGGAACTAGCCAACCTTAGTCACTGTCACCTTCTGGGATGAGACCTCTGTCTCCTCTTTTTCTGGAGGCCTATGAAGTCGTATAAAACTCAGGCCATAGGGGGAGTCCTTGCTGTAGGGCTGGCTGCACACCATTCTGATGCGGTCCCAGGGCTTCTCTGGTGCTGTCTGGACCAATTTGTCAGCCTCAAAAATGCGAACATGGTTGACGTTTGAGCCAGTGCGGCTCTCAGAAGGGGACATGAAAGGTGAGGGGACCAGAAGAGCCTCATAGTCTTGCTCATTGGCCCCTCTGACAGAACTGCCCACCAGCACCTCTACGAAGGCCAAGTCATCGTTCCTGATGTCCATGCTGTGGATCTGCTTTTCCTTCCCCACCCGCAAGACCACAGAGATGGATGAAGTACCTCAGGGTCTACGGTTTGAATCATCAAAGGTATGAGGGATGTAGAACTGGTAGTAATTCAGTTAATAATAGCTAATATTTATTGAATGTTTTCTTTGTACTAAAGAGTCTGTTTTAGACAGAATAGTTTCTTCAATCATAGAACAACCCTCTGACCCTAAAAATCATTGTTCTTACCTCTGAGGAGCAACAGTCTAATAAACGACAGGCCCAAGACCACCTAGTCAGATAGCAGAAGAACTGCAATGTGAATTCAGTCAATCTGGGCCCAGACAGTGGTCAACAGATGTGACTCTGCTCTCTGCTGGGCCAAGATTGGATAGAAGAACAACACAATTAAGCTTTTAAAATAGCCTCTAAGACATGTGTATGTTCTATAAAGTTTTTTTAGTCATGTAATTTTCATCCTTTGCCTCCATAAGACACACTGCTGTAACAAACCGTAATATGCAGCTATTCATTCTCTATAATTTGGTATTATTCTTTTCATAAATATTTATCGAGCACCTCATCAAAAACTAATCACTGTGCAAGTTACAATAT